TCTAAAAAGACATCAGACTTTTTAGACATCAGACTAAAATTTTAGTCTGATGTCTAAAATTTTATTAACATGTTTAGATAACTCTGATGCACTTTTTTTATCCGACATAATAACCCTCCTTTATTCTTGTATACATGGGTACCTAAATGTTTAGAATTTTAATATTTTTATTTATTTTAATATTAATTTAATGTAAATGTATACATACCCAACAATATTAAACAGAAAAAATAAATATATTCAATAAAAAATCTTTGTTTCAATGAATATACAATGTTACGGCTCGGTAAATATGTCAACATTGAAACGAAAATCAGTCTAGCATAGGGAGAATTGGTGAATTGTGCAAAGCCAGCATTAGTGTGAATCGGTGTTGGCATAAACCAAGAGCTGCTGTGAATTCACAGCCGCGTTATTGTGAATCAGCATAAATTGAGCCGGCATAAACCAAGGGCCACCTGAATATATATATTTAAATTATACAGTGGGTAACGAACAGTTCGGATACCGAACAAATCGGATAACGAATACTTTTGTCAAAGACTTTTATGATCGGACAATGAACACATGTTCAGATAATGAACACTTTACTGAACAAACATAAAAAGAAGCGACGGAAAATAACGAATACCGATTGATTTTCCCTTGTCTTCAGGTAACAATTCGAAACCTTTTGGAGCATGGGAGACGTCAGTATCGACGCTCAACCCGATACTGATCGGTTAGTATCCTCCAAATTTTGAAACTTTTCCTTGTAATTCTAGTTTTGTTTACCTTTCTGGCAAATAATTCTTTATAGTCTTCGCGAGACTGTTGGACGGGCACTTGTTAACATTTTCATCGGGGTTTATTTATGAAAGGTGAAATTTTAACTATCCCATCGGATATTTGTTAATGTTTTAATACCAAATTTCAAATTTTATCTGGGCTTTCCATTTAAATAATTTTTTGTGGGTTAGTTGATTTCTGTTCTCTGAATTTTTGTAAGTGCTTTTCTGAACTTTGTATTTAAAAAAGAAACTGATAATATTATAGAGCCTAAAAAGAGGAGTGTCAAGAACTGTGCTCACCGTAGAAACCATGTAAGAGATAATAGCCAAGGTAGAAAGTGGGCACAAGATGTCTGATGTTGCTAGGCAGTATGGCTTGAATAGATCTACAGTAAGCACAATCTTAGCTATGAAAGATATATCAAGAAGTCTCAAGCTACTACCGGAGTAATGAAAATTACATCTGAGAAATAAAGAACATTTTAGAGCTCATAATGGAAACTGATCTGACAACAGAAGAACTCCAAGAACTCTCAAATGAACAACACCAAGAAACTCAGTGAGATATGTTTTCTTTTGAAAGATCTGCTACTAAAGATCTTTTGAAAAAGTGGGAGGATGTCAGAATGATCATCCAAGTGGCATCCAAACCAGAATAAGGTTAATGGGGTTGGGGATCTCTACAGTTACAATACTATTAATTACTTCCAAAAAATCCTGAAAAGAGAAAAGCAATTGACATTGGACAGATTCTTTAACCCCTATAAATGGAAAAACATGACTAATAAAAATGCAAGACTGCATATATATGTATTTTTACTATTACATATAAATAAACGTAGTAAAAAAGTATATTTTTTTTTATTTTTTGGAGTCTCCAGAATGAATTAATCAAATTCCCATAAAAACCTCTGGTAAATCAATAATCGGTTAACAAACAAAGTCTTGGAATGGATTATGTTCATTAACCGATCACCCACTGTATATCCTATTTATACCTTTTGGTGTATTCACATTTCTAATGCAAATTTGATGCTTTTGTAATCCATCATATTCTTCACTATATGATAACCATGTTAGAATACAGTATTGTATACAACTTTTTTGGTCCTGATGGCATTTACTATTTGGAAGTTATACAGTAACTTGTCCAACCTGCCATACTCCTCTTATGGTTTGACACATATTACTAACTTGCCTTCAACACAAAACAGCCTGAGAAGACTACCTTCGATGACAAAGCTCTGCAGACTATACTAGACGACAGTGGACAAATTCTCTTTATTATGGCATATCTGAAAGCAATAAACTAACATACAGAAAATTATATGGCTTTTTAAAGACCCAAAAGGGTATACAGACATGTAAAGGGATAGACTTTGCACTCTTTGGTCTACCCATGCCCTTGTGCCAAAAATTCCAAAACTAATCAACCAAGAACTGGCATTACTTTTCAAAATGAGTTGAAATTCAATTACATTTTAAAGATGTTTAGGGTTAAATGAAAATGAATTGTGTTCAATCTGCTGCTTTACCTTATCAATGGTTGCAAATCTACAATTTTGAGCTTAACATCACAAGATGATATTCCGTAGGTTTTCACTTGGGTCTAAGTCAGGAATCATTGATGTCATTCCTTAACTTGAACTTAGTTTGTTTAATTAAATCATGCACAAGTAGAGCTAGATGCATGAATTGATGCATTCCTCTGTTGGAAAATTTAGTGATTACCACCACTACTTTTGCAATGAACCAAAACCATGCAAAAAAACCATGTAAACCATTTTCAAAAACTGCCTGATAACCCTCTGAAATTTGTTGACCATCCAGATAAGCAAAATCGATGGTGTCATTGAAAGCAAAGGGTCTCCACATCACAATAGTTCTCTCCTTGGTGACAGCTGTGGAAGATGCAAAGTTTCCATTTTAAGCCATGCCAATTATGGATCCAGCCATGGGGACTATTCAGGTTAAACTTCTTTTCAGCACTGAATATAACAGCTAATCGTTTGTCCTTGCAACATATATGTGATTTGTCCCATTATATCTGATCTTGTTTGCAATGAGGCTTTAAACATTCAGATATAAGAAAAGCATGATTATTAGATTGTAAACATCAATGAACTGTATCTTTTGACACAGGAGGGGATAAAACGGAAAATTTGACACAGCAATTTATCCCAGTCAAATGCTAACCTCAAAATTGATTGATCATCCCGTCGCTTGACACTCTTGGTCGTCCAGAATGTGTTTTTATTACAGCTATATTTTCACTTTTTGATGAAACTTAATAAATTTCAGACCTACTATGCCTCATTTGTTTTTCAATGCTTGCAAAACAAATGAGATGCAAATAACTGAAAATACTCTGATTTTAAACACAATACTTTAGCCACATTGGCTTGAGGAAACTGTACTCTGCATGGCATTTTGCCGACAGCACAATGATAAAATTATCTGCAATTTGTAACGTCTTGGGAAATATGTCATATGTCCAGAACTAGGATATGCAAATTTCAGAAATTTTAGCATAAAAATATGAACTATCTGAATTTCCATATAGTTTAGAGATAAAAATAAAATAATACAAATTTTTGGTAAGTTTTATTGTACGAAGAACTGAGAATCTACTATTCATAAACTTTTAATATGGATCTTAATTTTAATGAAAGTAAAACAACTATCACATAATGTAAGAAGAGAATAGTCATATTTATTGAATGTCAAAAATCAGAAATATGTGAGAGATAATTGACACATGGCCCCCCAATTACATAATTTAAAAAAGTGATGGCATAAAACAATTGTCCTGTAAATCACCGATTCCTAAAGTGGATGCTACCACCCTCAAGGGATTGGTAAAAGACACATGGCAATGCTGGAATGTAAAAGATGGTAGAGGTGTTGGAATACAAGGGGGTCAATATAAGCATTATAACTTATACCCATCCGAAAGGGGAAATAGTTTAAAAAGTTTGGGAAATGATGCCATAAATGAAAAGCCATAAAAAATATCAGCTTAACAAGAAAATATGTTAGACACATCTGTAAAAAAAATGTTAAAATTCCAAACAGTTAAGTAAACAAGAAACAAATGATTCTAAAGCAATAATTTTTGGAAAATTGTTTACATTTGTCTCAATGAACATTTTACAAAGTTAAAAACTTGAACTATATCTCATTACGAAATAGGAATGAGCTTATACAAAGTAGATGGAGGAATAGAATTGAATATATGATAATCAAGAGATATAATACTGAAAATTCCAGATGTTTGATAGATTTTGTAGTGATAACAAGTTTTCTTTGGCATTTGAAAACATGAATAAATATCGTTTTGACTTCATTGTCAAAATATCATAATCAATTAGGTCATCTGTAGAATTCGAAAAATTATATATATTTTAAACAAACTCGTTAATTCTGAGATGTACTCTGATTCCAACTTACCAGACAAAAGCAATTTCAAAGTATCGATTACTTTTGAAACGAGACTGTTAGTTTTCAGGATATTGTGTTATGGATTTTTATAGGTCAAGTCACATTTGCAAGAAAGAAATTTTATTATTCAGCCATTTTGTAGATCAGATATGAAAAAGTTTTTGTGTAAGGTAAAAAAACTTATCAGTCAACAATATTTAAGTAAAAAAGTGAATTAAAAGTCTTAAATGGAAGAAAATAGCATCAGTATAAAGAAAAAAACTTTCAAAATCAATATCGAGAATAATTTTGTGTGTTATAAAAGCAAAGGAGGTCTAGTAAAGTATTAAGAGCGACTTTTGAATGCAGGATCCAAGGGTTTTCTTTTGTATATAATAATTATTTCCTATCAAATATTTAAAATAAAGTAAATTCTAATTGTTACAGGTAAAGTTGCATTAATTAACATGATTCTCTTTCATTTAATAAGAATAATAAATGTAAAACAGTATAAATATTTTTTCTAGTTTTTACTCTATTCGTTGTTTATTCTATTCATATTTTTGAATGTTGAAGTCTAATTGAATGGTTATGATGATACTGAACTTTTTGGTAGGTGTTTTATTTTTGTGTGTGTGTATATATATATATATATAACTTATTCAATATAAATGTCACATGATGATTTATCACATATCATATTGCCTGACGATTTTACCCTTGAAACTATTCAATTGTATTAGCTTTTTTTTTTTTTAGCTGCTTTGCCTTTATTTTATTATGTTGTAATGAATAATGATTATCTTTTAGGTACCTACATTACCTAGATATACATCTCAAGTAGTTGGGAGATTTATAAAAGTAAGCATTATTTTTTTCCGTCATTAATATTTTCAGTTAGAAAGATTGATAAGTATTGCTTTCTTTATAGCCACTAAGTCAACCTTATCACGATTTAGCTACCGCATACACTACGAACAGTCCGGATGAAGTTAGAAATATCGTCAACAGGCACTCGGATACGTTCTTGCGGGTTAATTTAATCTTCAGACTTAGCATTCACTTTATTGAAGTTAAATGATAGTTACATTAAATTCTTTTCGTTTGTAGGATAATAATATGGGGCTAGTTAAACAATGCTTAGCTTCACTTTATAAGAAGAATATTCAAAGACTTACAAAGGTAAATTTTGATATTTTGAAGTATGTCAGTGTTGCATCTTGAATTTATTTATTTTTTATCATTTATAGACATTTCTTACGTTATCCTTAAGCGANTCACCTTTTAATAATAAAGGGTACTCGCTTACAGCGATTGTAAGTTAAACACAGAAAAAAAAAGGTTTTAAACTAAGTGCACGAATTGTGTGCTAAATCCAGTAGAAATTTCTTTAATTATAATTAAAAATTAGATGTAGAATTTTTTGGGGCTTTATTAACATTTAAAATACTAAAAAATCTTTAATTTATTTAAATTTATTTAGGAATCAAAATAGGAAGAAAGGTTACTCTTGAGTTCACACACCAAGTGTGCGCTAAATTCCTTATTTAAGAGGAAATACGAAGTGTAATTTCGTGTGTTTGCTAGTGTGTTGATCCCTCATTATATTATATAAGTAATTTAAGGGTGGATCAATAAATAATCAACCGGAGCAACCAACCGTGTTGTGGCATTTTGCTGATTATTTATTGATCCACCTTTATATTGTTATAGAAATATATTTTATTATGTTCCTATTGTTATCAATCCTTCGTAGCCTATCACTACCTGCAGTTTTATGTAACATTTTTAATAATAAAAATAAATATAGAAATTTGAAAATTGGCAAGAAAATTCCGGTCGTTAAACTGGATGGTTTTATAACGGGGGACGTTAAACCGGATGGATAGGGAACTTGGCGTATTAACTAGCAGTGAAGTTCCTACTTAACAAGTGGCAAAAAATAGGAAAAAACTTTAAGAGACGTCGCTTCTAACTGGGTCGATGTATTCTTGTGTGGTTAAGTTTTAACAGTAATATTACTTGCTGTGTACTCGCACCGTATTATTATATAGTACGAGTTTTTACTTGTAGGAATGCAGATTGAAGTAAAATTTTACTGAAATGCAAGGTCGATGGTATATTAAAACAGTTTTAAAAAGTGTGTTATACGATGAATGAACATGGCTGTAGTAATTTAAATTTTTGAAACAATGCCGCCTTATCTGCTATCGATTTTTCCTCTATTTTACGCCATTTTTTTTCCTTTGTTTTCCTATAATCATTTGTTTATTTTTCCTGTTTTTCATTTACACTATCATCCGCCGCTAAATTAACTTTCTAATGATTAGCCAACCATTGTAAACCATGGTATTTTCACTGTTTTCCTTAATTGGAGTGGATCCTTTTTTTTTAAACTTCTGGTAAATTAATTGCTAATTTTCCCACAACAATTTATATTTCAGTGTTTTTTATCTAATTTTCATCACTTAGAAAGTTTATAAACCGGGAAGTTTCCAAGTACAGTAGGAAGATAACCTTGAAGATTCACTCGCGCGTAAGGGATTTTTGCAGTTTAACAGAGGAAGGAGGATCAATCAAGTGGATGATTTATCACTCTGATTCTCACAGTCTGATGTTAGTGATATTTTTTAACGAGATTTTTTTTTTAAATCTGATATCAAAATATCACAAATTTTTAATGGTTCTTAACAGTTTTTTGTATTAAAAAAACAGGAACAAATGTGCCCTGATTTATATAACCGTTACAGAGTTACTATCAAAGTAGAAAAAATAAAATACTCCTGATTTTCTCCATATTTAAAAAAAAAATAATAATATAAAACATAACCTAGATTCATCTGGTGTTTTTAATTTATTATAGAATTTTTTAACATAAAAAAATTCGTGTCTAGCCAAAAAATCCAACGATTTTCCGTCTTAGAATCATAAAAAATTCAATTAATACAGGCTCAAAGTTGGTAGATTTCTTAAATATGGAGGTTTATTAATATAAATGATGGGTAAATTTAGTTAAATAATAATATGTATTGTTAAAATAAACTAATTTCTAAATAAAAATTCAAAATTTCAGAAAAGAAAATTAGAAAATTCAAGAAATCTTTTTTGTTATTGTGCTCCAAGGATTTCTTAATTAAAATTGCTGAAGAACAAGTGTCGAAAATTACGGGTTTTAACTCGACATTTAGACAATTATTTAAAACATAATTAAGGAGCCAAAAATAGTAACTATAGCAAATTAATTCTATAATAATTCGCATTAATTAGCCATTTAATTAAGGCACTAGGCGTTAAATTAAGACAGAAGGAGAGATTATAATGAGCGAAAGTACAATAAGAGGAGGAAGACGGATGGAGTCAAGTTGTGAAAGAAAATGAATGGGGTAAAGAAAAGTCGAAATGACTTACCTATGACAGCCGCTAATGCGGGTAGGACTAGCCCTACAGATATAAGACATTTCATCTTCCTTCTCGACTTGTAATCAGCCTTTAAAGGCGCACCTGGCCGACTGACTGTTCTGTCTGCAAAGAGATGATAACAATATTGGTCAGTGATGAACTGGTTGGCTGATATATGTGGGACAAAGTCCTACTTAAACACGAACCGATCCCTTCCCCGACTTTGCTAGGTGGTCCAAACCGGGATTACCCGGCTGTGACATCATATCCGTTATCTTTCTCTACCCTATGCTGACAGGGAAATTTCTAGCAAATGGGGCTTTGATAGGTGCCGAATGCCGAACGTCTTTGTTTTTTTTCTCTTTCTAGATGTGACGTCACGTTCTTACAGACATTCGAGAAAGCGCAACGGACTTTATCGATGGAGCTCTCTTTCTACGCGTCACCGAGCTTATTATTTATACGTTCTCCCCCAAAAAATGTTCTTTAAATAGTAACATTCTCTAGAAAAATGTGGGTTTGAGAGTGCAGTAGTCTGTAAATTATGCAAATTTATTTGTATTTTGCTGCCAATTGTGTAAAGAGGTACAGTACCTTGTGTGAAAGTTCTTTTCCTTATTTGTAACGCGCTTAGGCATTACCACCATACACATATATTAATTACTGTTCAGGTATTACCATAATAAATTACGGTATACCTGAACAGGTGCTCCTGAACGTACTCATCTACCGGTATACCTGAACGTATGAATGACAGAACTCTATTTTTTCATCCACACGTTCAGATATACCGGACTGGCGCCTGTTCAGATATTCAGGTATACCGGTACGTGTTTACCAGATAAAAATTACTTAATAATTAAGTTAAATCGACCAATTGTTGTTCGATAATTCGATTAGTGTACAATTAAATGTTAATGGCGTAGAAAAAATGATTGCATTTAAATGGTTACATACTTGGTTTGTTGTGTAATTAGTAACTTAATTTAGCCTGTGTTTTGTTTTTAACTGGATTTTTTTAAAATAGATATTTCACTAACGTCTATTTAACACATCATCCGTGATATTCCGCTTCCATTTTTACTGAATTGAATATTTACTATTGAAATTGCTTAATACCAATACAGATTAAAGATGATAATTTCGACAATTAAAATGAATTTAGCGAGAAGAAATGAAATCAGAATTTAGTTTTTTAATGTTAAAATTATAATAAACGTCACTTTAATTACTATCAGATCTTAAGACAAGAATTACTTATGATGATAATGATGATGATGATCAATTCTAATTTAGATATTTTAAATACACTAAAATTTCTCAGATTATTAGAATTTATGGGAAAATTAATTAATAAAACTAATTGGGCACTTTAACATTGGGCATAAATTTATGCCCAATTTCAAGATACTCTTTCACTAGAGAGCAGTGAAATAACATCTCAACTTGTTGAGTTAGCGCACATTTTACGTCATTTTGACGTCATTTTTAAGCTTGTTAAGTGTAAAACTGAAGTGGTGACGTAAAATTGACGTTAATCTCCCCTTTCTGGGAGAAAGAATGCGGCTTATGTAAATTAGACTGTATTAAACTATAAAACATACCATTGCTAATAATGATAACGGTTGATAACATTAAGCGGTTTTAGGTAAATAAGAATACAATTAGTGGACATTCTGATTTCATTAATTAAAATATATATATATATATATATATAATTTTGTTTGCTCACTGATTTTGCAGCACTAACTTTACCTCATCTAGGGCAAAATTGAAGTAAAATCAGCCAATAATTCCAAATATTGTCAACAAATAACAGCTAAAACATTTAATATTGATAATGATAGATCGTAAGACAGCTTTAAAATATCAATTTATCCGAAGTTAACGCTGAATATAATCAAAACATTAGCTAATTCTGTTAACATTAAATGATTGTTAATGATATCGTGATTATAATAAGCGGGTTCTATTCTACACAAGGGCGGATTTAGAAGTTGCTCGGGGAATCATCCCCACCCCTTCTGGGGTTTCCACGAAATTTATCATAATTAAAATAATTTTTGTTATATTATAGTTTCAAGACCTAAAAAATATATTTATACTTTTTCATTTGACATCATTTTGTATGTTCGTTGTAAATCTGCAGGTGTAATGTCAAAATGACGTAGAACTCACAACCACTAACACAACCAATCGGACGGAGCTTGATATATTGCTCTAAGAAATTCGTGTAAAATATCTCTCAGATAAATTTGATTAATAAAATAATGTTTGTAAGGGGGTGATTTAAATGTTTTAATACAAAACACAGACACTTGTGACGCGTGTATGCACGTGTTAACACGCATTTGCCACGACTGGGTGGCGAGCACTCATACGTGGATTCAGTTAAATGGCGCTCACATATGTCATATTGTGACTTAACGACTGCGTAATACGTCGAATCCTTTGTTTATTTAATTACTCAATTGTAATTAAACTAATAAATAATTGATTAAACAAAATTAACTGTTATTTGTACAATGTATTTGAACCTATTCTAAGCTTCATACATTACTTTTCATTGATGTTTTCGCAGTCATTACATTAACAATATCCGATATATTAGGCTTACTTTTATACTGTTTACGTGTAATATTTACATGAATCATTACAGAAAGAAGTTTTTATAATTCGTTTAAAACATTTATCAGTTTATAATAATTAAAATATGGGGTAACATGTGATAGTTGTAACACTAAACCAAGTGTTTCGCAAGGCATTTAACAATTTAGAAACCCACAATTTAACCGACCAATTTTATTTTTTGCATAAATTGTGTAATGTTTAACCGTTACACGTGTGAAATTTAAGTCTGATTTCAACACTTTAAACTGTATTTCCACAGTTTAATGCAGATATACTCTGTATACCCCCTCTTTATTTAAGGTCATATACCCCTCCATGAATGTCTGCAGAAGGGTAAACGGGACATTTTCCCTCTTCTGGGATCGAGTATGGGATCCATGGGAACAAAGTGCCCCATAAGTATCCAAAACACCAAAAATATTAAGCAAATAAATAAAAATTTATTGATTTAATTATTTGTCTTCA